CTGGCACCCACCCCTGCCCGCTGCCTCTCCCCGGGGAGGGAGGGAGGGAGGGAAGCAGGCAGCACCCAGCTCGCGGCCTGGAAGTGACTCTGCTCTCAAACAGGAATTGAGAGCGGCTGGGGGGCGTCCCCCACCCCCCTGCCCTGCTCACGGGAGTGGGGAAATCATCGTGGCAAGGCCCCGGGTGACCGGGGGATGAATTAACAGGATTGCAGGGGCAGGATTTGAGCTCGAAATGACCTCTCGCAGGCTGGAATCAGCTCCTCTGCAGTCAGGGGAGAGGAAAATACATTTCTTAGGTCAAAAGGCAGAAGGACAGGAACAGGAAAGAACTCTTTTTATTTCCCATAAATACAGCAGATTCTTCGCGCCGGGCGTTTCATTTTAAATCTTTTCGTTTGTTTGTTTTCTTCCATTTACAGAATTTTGCACTGAAAATATATACAAGTCTGTTCAAGAACCAAACAAGATCTGCAAAGAAAAAAACCCATACAAAACCCTGAAAAGAGACCAGAAAGGGAAGCAGGACAGAGCAGAACCCCAGCATAAAGACCTTGCTTCCCCCTCTCCTCTGTCACCTGCTGCACCCAGCTCCAAGAAACCTCACCTTCGCTGCTCCCAAGCCGTGAGCGCGAAGCACCCTGCTCGTCTCCATCTCTCTAACTCTGGCAAGCCAGTGCAGGGCACAGCTCGCCCCTGCTTTTAAGATCAGGCCCTGTTAAAACCAGCTGAGGGATGGGAAGTGGCTCCTGTGGTCGCAAGTCCCATGGGGATGGGGATAGCTCGGGACGTGCCACCCCCTGGTCTCCTCCGCTCTTGTGTCACAGTGATCAGGCGGCTGGGGTGAGCCCCCTCCCTGCCGCAGGGAGCCGGGCCTGCCCCCGGCTGATGGCAAAGGTGTGCAAGGCACAGCTGTACCCCCGTACCCCACCAGTGCAGAGCTGGGCTCCCAGTGCAGGGCTTAGGGGTGCCCCCTGGTGATGGCTGAGCTCCAGTCTCTCCTCGGCTCCCAACCCATCACCCACCCCACGGCCAGAAGAGGCTGAAGAGCTGAGAAAGCCCCTGCCCTACCACACTCTCCAGCCCAGCCCGGGGGAGGAAGACCATGTGATGCTTCCTCTCCCTGCTTTCCCGGGCTGACACACGGGACAAAGTCCCGCAGCAGCCCCTGGGGCTCACTGCGGGAGATAAAGCAATGGGAAGGGTGTGGGCTTCCTCGCTGCAGGGGCTCAGTGCGCAGGAGCTCCAGCTGAAGGGGACTGGGAGGCACGGAGCAAGCCCTTCCGGGCCCCTGGGCTCCCACCGCAGGGCCCACCTCCCACCAACAGCTCTGTAAGCAGTTGGAAGAAGAGGGATATGGGAAGATCTCTCCTCCCTTGACCCCTCGCCAAAAGCAAGGGCACCTGTCTGCTCTCTGGTGCTGCAAAGACATCCAGTCCCTGCTCAGCCTTGTTCCAGCTCCAGGGTGATCCCACCAGAGCGGGAACCACTGGGGCACAGCTCCAAGGAGGGGGCAAGGGGGACAAGAGGGAGCACAGCAAAGCACAAAGCAGCTGGAGGGCTGAGAAGGGCAGAAGGGACAACAAGGAAAATGATCTTCCTTTGCTAGGCCATGCCCTGGGCTCAGGCTGTTAATGCTCCGCATCCTTGTTCCCCACTGCAGCTAGGGGAAAGCAGGGTTAGAAGAGATCACTGGACAGACTGGGGAGGGAGCGATGCCTTCG